GAGTTGTCCTACAAAGGGTGCATTTCAGCTGCTTGCGAATAGTAGGCCAATATTAATACTTGTTTGCTATTGGTAGGTGCTGGAATCCCAACAGTGTTTTCTTTAGCAGCCTAGTAGCAGAGGTCTTTAGTTTGTCAAGGCCATGCCAAAATCAGAAGCTACTACTAGCTTTTATGGCTTCCTTTATGAAGATACCTGTATCCTAATAGTTTTGTGTACACAGGAAAGATCTGAGGACATTGGTAGCTTTTATGCAAGTTGAAGGAAAATGTGCTTTGTTTGATTTTCATGGTTATACCTTTGTACCTTTGTGCTAGTTAAAATTAAAGGATAAACAAGATACAATTTTAAATTAAGAAATATATATAAGGTTTTTATAAAAAATATTTAAAATGATACACTCTATGTTTCAATGTTAATGTTTTGTCTTATTCTTTCTTTAGTCCTGTTCTCTTTTTTCCCCTATTATTTCAAAAACGTGATTATAATTTAAATTGTATACTAAGTACACAAATTCAAAATTGGTACATCAATTCATTATTATTTGCTAACTGTCAAGTATTAGAACTAGAATAATAAGACAATTTAAAGAGGAACTATTTTATTACACTCTTTATGTTCCAAAAGAGTTTGATTCTTGCAAGTGTATGGTTGGTAAACTGATTACATATGCACACCTGGTGTTAAATGTGAACTGACAGATCTTAGCCTAGTGGTCTTTTGATGCAAGAGTCTGCATGCCCATTCAGCTGTGAGCAGTACACTGAGTGAGTGTACTAGGACATGACGCCAATCCAATAATTGCTCATTCTACACAATAGAGGGCAATGCTCATTGGACATCTAAACAAAACACTTGATTGTGCGAAGCCTGGCCCCATATTTGTCATCGATTTCTTCTTTTATCTTGACTTTTAGGCTCGTTTGACTTTATCAAAAAGATTTGTGGGTTGATATAATATTTCGGGTCTGATATCTAAGAATAGGAGACAAAGCATAAAACAAAGAAATATCAAATCAAATGATAGTTAATCTGTGTAATTTCAATTTTAGAACAATTACTGTGATTAGGTTAGAGGTCTACGAGTTCTAAAAATAGGTTTGTGCCACTGCATTTATGTACTATTTAAACAATATAAACTTGCTGTGCAAATTGAGAACTACCTTAAATTGTGGTTTGAATTGTCTTCAAATTGAATAGGCCAACTGAAAATTTGTTGTACGGTACAAATCATCCGTTGTTGAAATCGTCCAAAATTTGAATAGAATTGTGTAATAGACTATAAACAAAATAAATGATTCATATTTATTTTAAATTAGCCTCGATTCATAGCCTCCTGTCCTATTTATTTCTGCATCGCTTAAAAAAGAATTATTGTATTGTTGCTTTAGATACAAGTGTGAGAATCCTACTGTATTGTATTTTAGTACATGTTGAAATTAATTGTAGTTAAAGGTCAAATTAATTTGGTGCCTGGATCCATTCCCTAGTTTAAAATATATCTGTTACAAGTTAGTTAGGATCCGATATAAAGGATCAGGTATCAATCATCCACCACTATGCACTTTGTGCGTATACGACAATAAAGATACAATACGAGGTAATAGTTACCATGTTGAGATTTAATTTCTCAAACATCAAATTCATTTTATTCTGCATATGATATGACACAAGATGAACAATTACGTTTGAAGTGTGCCCAAGTAAAACTTGCTAAAATGTCAAATTATTGTTTATTTCTCTTTCCAATATTTTACATAGGTACAGTTAGGACTAGCAAAATATTGAATTTGTTTTATTTTTTTTAAATAGCCTTAGGGATGTGGTAATCCTTTATATGAAGAATTTTTTTTAACTTGTAATCTTTTGCTAAAATTTTGCTATAGACCTAATATCAATGTAATAACAAACATGATTTAATACAAATTTTAATTGAAATCTATCATAAATAAAAAGAAAATCTTGAATATTAGTTTCAAAACATATTTGAAATTTGTTGATTGAACTAATCATTTATAAATACCCATTGTTTCAGTTTTATTGAACTTTGAAGACAGTATCATTTAAAACTCCATAGAAAAGTGTTAATGGCTTATTGGGATACTAAAAGAATGATAGAAAAATTAAAATTAATTTGGTGCCTGGATCCATCTCCCAGTATAAATTATATCTGAGGATTAAATTCATTTTATTCTGCATATATGACATGACACAAGATGAACAATTACGTTTGAAGTGTGTGCAAGTAAAACTTGCTAAAATGTTTTAAATTATTGTTTATTTCTTTTTCCAATATTTTACATAGATACAGTTAGGACTAGTAAAATATTGAATTGTTTTATTTTTTTTTAAATAGCCTTAGGGATGTTGCAATACTTTATATGAAGATTTTTTTTTTTAACTTGTAATCTTTTTAAACAATTTTGTTATAAACCATAATATCAATGTAATAACAAACATGATCTAATAAAGATTTTATTTATAAATAAAAAGAAAAACTTGAATATTAGTGTGAAAACATGTTTGAGATTTACTGATTGAACTAATCATTTATAAATGCCCATTGTTTCAGTTTTATTGAACTTTGAAAACAGTATCATTTAAAACTCTGTGAAAGTGTTAATGGCTTATTGGGACACTAAAAATGATAGGAAAAAAGAACAGACACTAAACAAAGCCATCACAGATGATTGAATATAAAGATTAAATAGCTGTTTACTGATTGTTAACAAGAAATAGTTATTGATTCTAATTTGTGTGAACTATATGGGTGCTAGTCCAGGATCATTCAAGATCAGTATTTGATGAACCGCTTTCAATATTCAAAGTTGTCACTTTTATATTTTTCACCTGGTTTTCGGATATTTTTCACAGCAATTGAAGGGTTATGCTAATTCGGAAAGAATCATGAGAAAGCATGTATTTTCTAGTAAACTGCTTTTTAAATGATTTTGACTTACTAAGGATGCAAAAAATTTTCCACATGATATTTCTATAAGAAGTGGATGATTAATTTTTTGATTCACATTTTAATATTAATCATAGACCAATAAGGCAATTCCTAGTTAGAACTGTGCATGCCCACATTAAGGTCAGTAACATAAACAAACATACACAATGCACACAACATAAGTTTATGTTGATTGATATTGGATACGAGAATGTACAGTTCCAACTACGATTTGGCTTATAATTCAGGTTTATTTTATTAACATAAAAAAATAAATATAAACATAAAATCACTCATTTGCAGCAAGAGCTGAATTAAGAGCAAAGTTATTAGTAAAATATCAAGGCTAAAAATACTATACAATTAAGGTGATAAATAAAATATATACACATTGAAAATTGAATTACATTACAGAAAATAAAAATACATTACTGAAATAAAATACATTGCTAATGTTAAATAATTTGTTAAAATCACATAAAAAATCTTCAAGGTATAACCATACATTTCCAGTTACATACCCAGCTTACATTGTACAGTGTGTTACATTATTTATGCAATGTTAAGCCTCAGGCTACAATCCAGGCATAAAATGGTAAAAAGTAACCCCCTTACCTGGTATTCAGAGACTTTGTCGGAGGTAGAGAAAATGAAAAAATAGAACCATAGAAAATATACAAATATTTATGTTAGCATTTCAATGATTTACAATATAAATATTTCTATAGAATTTTGAATTTCATCTATTGGATCTGAATTCTACATTTTTTTTAATAGCAAATGTAAAATGGCTATAGTAGGACTATATACAGCCTATTCTGGAAAATTCTAGTTGTTGTTGTCATGCAAGTAATGCAATATGTCCAACATTGACAAAATTTTCAATAGAAATTAATATCTACAATTTTCTTTCAACTGTTGATTGTTAATTGATATTTGTCATCTGATACTCTCAAGTTCATATGTTGGCAATGACTTTGAAATTAGAGAAAGATGAGAAAACTGTGAAGGGCAGGTATAATACAGGTTAGAACAAATATTCTCACCTGCTGTCACGAAAATCCCACAGTGGCTTTTCCACAAGGTGATGTGGCATGGGCCTACAGGTAATTCTGATCAGATGGGCTACTAAAAGCAGTGAATTAGGGTTAAAAAAAGGTTAATGTTTCTAAATATAAATCTATGCAGATACTCATTAAAGCCTGTTCAGCATCTGGATAAGAGCAGGGGCTTAAGTTGAACCTGCCTTAACCGCTTGGCCATGCGATTTGCCGTTTCATTTTGTTTACATCCAAGGGCAAATTTAGAAAATAGGCTGATTACAGGATGGCTATATCACTGCAAAGTACACATACATTAAATAATTCCACATCTAGTTACTTAAAAAACAAAAAAAATCTTGCATGCTTTTAAAATTTAACATAAATTATCCCCTGATTGCACACGTTTATATTTGTAACTTTTAGTAACTAGTATACGACTAGGAAGCTTATATTTACCAAACACATACCAAAGATATTGTCACAAACGAGAAATGTAGTTAAATCCTAATTTAATTATTCTTATTCATAATTGTTCGTGATTTACATGTTGTAAATAATGCCTAGTATTACAAAGGATAATCACACATTTTAAATGGTTTGCTACATTATCTCAAATTGAAACGCAGATTCTTTTGTTTCCCTGTACTTTTCCCACGAACTTTGTGATCAATGATGATCGCAATTGTCTTGTTCTATCTGAAATTCTATTGTTGAACCCCCATAGTAGAGTTGTAATAACACATTGAGAATTACAATAATTAAACATCAATTGTGGCTTAATGAATGAATTGTTGAAGAGGGCATAATCTGTACAAGCATGAAGTAAGATTATTTTCATTCTCAATAGAAATAATGTTTTGTATTTGATCTGATCAGATGTTTTATTGAAAAAGCATAAATTACAAATTAAAGAAAAAGTAAATAGATATTTGAAGGTTAAAAACTCCATTTTACAATACAGTAGTTAGTACTGATAAAATAAATTGTTTGTAATCTCTTATTTCTAGGTGTTCACCAATGTATGCGGGTGAATTCTGTCAATTTGATAATCCCTGCTATGTCAACATCTGTCAGCATGGAGCAACTTGTGAAGTTCTACTGAGTATGACAGAAGCGATCCGCAGATGTGTCTGTCCCCTGGGCTACTCCGGACCAATCTGTACTATTCCATTAGACAACATATGTAAGCGAGAGTCTCCGTGTTTCAACCGTGGAGAATGCATACTGACAATTTCATTGGAAGATTATCGTTGCGAGTGTGCGCTTGGGTACACAGGTACGTTTTAAAGAATTAGCTGCTTGCTCACACCCTGATATCAAATTTAATCATTTACGTAAAATGAAATAGTTATTCAGTTATTATTTTCATCGTTTTCGCGAGAGTACAAAACATACTCTTTTTGCTGACACGGAGCTAGAGTGCATTTCCCTCGTATTTTGAAATTGTTTATAAGTACACAATGCTTATATCAACACATCGGTAATTAGGGATGTAAGATGACGCTGTGTATAAACAGTTGATAAACTGATCATTTACCAAATTTATAACGGTAAACTTTGGCTTTTTAGGGAAATGGCTAGGCACAAAAACAAAGCTAAGGCTAAAATTTCCAACCATTTTTGTACTTTTTTAAAAGCTACACATGCCTTNNNCCCCCCCCCCCCCGCGTATGTTTTGTACGCTCATGAAAATGATGAAAATAATGGATGACCACTTAAGGTTTTATGCAAAGGATATTTTATTTCAATGCGTATGTTATTGTTTAAATGTTCAAATTTAAATTTTCAGTTGAAAGTTAATATGTCCAGTAATTAAATTAGTCTAAATAATGAATTGATTGTTTGATAGTTTTTACTTGATTACTACTTGTATTAGCTTATTTGGAGGGTTATACAAATAGTTCACTTAGTAATAATGTGTGCAGTATTAAAGAATCATAGCCGTATATTTCATATTCTACCTAGGTGAATTGTGCGAGGACATTGATTTTTGTGCCGATGTGCCTTGTGCCAATGGAGCGACTTGCAGCACGCAGGAGGATGATTACACATGCATATGCAGTAGCAGATTCGTTGGCGAAAATTGTCAAACTGATGTTGATGAATGTGTTGAAACTTTCAATCTATGTCATAATGGAGGCACTTGTCTAAACACCTACGGATCTTACGAGTGTATGTGCGCACAGGGTTTTAGAGGAATTCACTGTGACCACATATTTGTGCCGTGTGAGTTGTCACCATGTCAGAATGGTGGGACATGTGAACGACTGGATGCCTTCTCTGAAGCTTGTGTGTGTGCCACAGGTTAGTTAACTATCTTCTCAGTTTCTCATGCATGATGTATGTAAACAGTTATCCCGTTGATGTTATAAATTAGTATTTAATTTACTTTAGTATACATATAATATCTCTATACTTAATGGCAATAATAATTTTGATAGTAATCTTTTTAAAATATCTTGTGACATTGTATTTTAGATGTTTATGTTTTGAAATTTTCACCTCTAAGTGGGAACAAAGCATTCTTGTTGGACGATTGTTTGAAATAAAATAGGAAAAAATGTAAAAAGTATGATTGGTTGGAAACAGGCACTCACTGTTTATAATTTTCCTCTAAAAATAAGAAAATTGTATATATTTATTTAAAATTAAATATTATTAAATGCCACTAGTGACATTATAATTCTTGATATTGGTATGGTGCAGTTCTCTATTCTAATTATGCCAAGTAAAGATTCATAATGTGTATGCACAGATATTGTGTTAACTTAAGTTACATAATCATGTTGATTCTTAGAATTGCATTTGGTATAAATACTAGTTTGATACTTGTAAAAGAAGTTTGAACATTTAATATATTAAATCATTAGAATATACTAAATAGAGCTGTATTATTATTGAAGGTTTATACTGTACAGGTAGACGCATTTTTTCTTGCAGGTTTCAGTGGGAATCATTGCGAGACAAACATCAATGACTGCATAAGCCACCAATGTAGTAATGGAGGAACATGTGTGGACGGCATCAACTCATACACCTGTCATTGTCCTGCAAATTTTACTGGTATGCTCACATTAAGTTCATTCTTATGTGCAAGAAAGCCACTTGTTTACATTACAATATCTATGCTATTTGATCATCTTCCAAAGGATTAAATAATTATGTGGGTGAATTTTTTTTTTGTAGCCTATACAAGATCCCAGTTGTTATTATTGTTGTTTTGTTGTTAATAGTATCATTTATCAGGGCCCTACATAAGAACGTGCCTTGTTGATTTTGTCTATTTTCATTGCAACATAAACTGAAACTGAACTTGTTAATTTTAGTTTCATTTTTACTATCATTATCTTGTATTATCACTTAATATAATAAGTTTTCCAAATGAAATAATAACTATAAGGTTATAATGAGAACACAATAAAATTACTTGAGGCAGTTGCTGGAGGATTACATATATTGGCAGTAGATTGATTTAACAATGGTGAGAATTGTTAAGGACATTTTAGATGACATCTGCTTCTTGGGAGTAAATCCTTGTCTGTAGGAGCTTAGCGGCTTAGCCTTCTGACCTTGCTAGGTCACACTCAACAAGGATTTTGTTCGTTCTGGTCAAATTTTGTATGAGTTAGATGAATCAGGATGAGAAAATATGGAAATATATGTGGAAAATAATTAATGAGGAGGGAACCTGTTAATGTATTATTTCAGAACATATATCCTTAAAAAGTTTATGTAGTGATAATTTTATCATTTGTAAAATTATTAGTTAATATTTTATATATTTAGCTTTGAATTTCATAAATTTCTTTTTGAGCTGTTTTGCTACCAATTACATAATTGTTTTTGAGTAACTGTTCCTATTAGTTTTTAGATAGAAGTAGGTCCTTTGTTAAGTATGATCTTAATCCTCTTATTGGTGGTGTTGTCTCAAGAATAAAGCCTCTTAAGTACAAGCAGGATTGAGGTGTTGTAATGCGACATGTACAGTATGAGGTTTGAATTTCAAACAACTATACAGCCTGAATTTAATTAAGGTTTTTTGCCTCGCTGTACTAATGATTATGTTATGTTATACAAATATTAAGAAATATATTCATAAATTTATTACTATAGTCAAAGCAACCAATATGGTTGTTGTGAAGCCTTATAAAGATAATATGAATAAATTTGGCAAATACAGGGTTGTAGCTATAGAAAACTAAAAGTGGGTGGTAGATATGTTAAGGGTGGGTGGGTATAACATTGGTAAACTCTAAATAAGAAGAGTTGAACGATAGGCAAATGGGTGGCTTCACCCACCTCTGCCCACCATAATTACATGTCTGTATATATATAATATTCTTTTTTATACTCAGGTACATATTGTATAAATGATGTGAATGAGTGTGACATGAACATATGTGAAAATGGGGCAACATGCATGAATTTAGTTGGTGGGTACACTTGCCATTGCGTTAATGGCTGGGATGGTGATCGTTGCGAGAATAACATCGATGATTGTGCCGATGCAGCATGCCTAGAGGGCGCTACATGTCATGATTACATAGGGTCTTTTGTCTGTGAATGTCCTGATGGCAAAACAGGTAAAAATCAATGACTTTATTGTATTTTATGAGAAATGTTATTGTCAAATAATTGTAATGATGATAACATTCAGTTATGGTAATCTTGATTCTTAAGTGATGTATCTATTGGCTATTCAAGTAATGAAATATATAAGAATTCATAATTATGATATGTTAATTTTTAACAGGCCTACCTATATAATTCATTTTTAAAATTATTAATTAAAATAAATTAATTGTGTTAAAGAAAAAGAAAAATTCTATTTATATAAGCTCTATTGATATTATCATGTGTAATCATGTTACTTTGATTTTTATTAGGGCTTCTGTGCCACCTTGATGACGCATGCCAGAGCAGCCCCTGTCAGTCGGGTTCAATATGCGAGACCAACCCTCTGGATGGCCTAGCCAATTGCATATGTCCCAGGGGCTACACAGGAGGAGCCTGTGATCAAGATGTAGATGAGTGTAACTTATGTATGTGGCCTTTCCAAGTAGTCTAATAATAATTCTCTGCTTGTGTTAATCTTTCATTTCCTATCAATTTATTTATTGAGTCATAAAATTTGGTTTTCTTTCATTGTAATGCACTCTCATCTCCTGAGCTGCTGGATCCCTGTTAGGTATACTTTGCCAGGCATTTTTTTGTAAGATATTTAATAAGAATAAACCACCTAGAAACCCCATATTGCTTAATAACCAATAATATGATGCTTTAGGGAGTGGATTTATTGTAGGGGGTGAGATGATTTCCCAAAGAATTTACTTCTGTTTGAAATAATTTTAATTTATTATATAACATTGGCAGATTACCCCGCCAGTACCTAAAACTTGAAATATTGTTAATGAGTGAAATAACAGCCTAGATCTGTTACTTACTGGAAAACCTTATACAGTGTGTATGCAGAGTAGGATCTATAAGCCTAAAAACAGAAACTAATTTGAAAATCTTCCTTTTATTTCAGATCCAAATTCAAATCCATGTGACCATGAAGGCACATGTGAGAATCTATTTGGCTCATTCCGTTGCATTTGCACAGAAGGCTACGAGGGCACCTTCTGCGAAGAAGATTTCAATGAGTGCGCCTCAAATCCGTGTGTGAATCATGGGACATGTTTGAACCGGATCGGTAGCTTCTTTTGTGTTTGTTTGAGAGGTAAGTCCATGGTCACAGCCTATTTATAATGACATAGGAAGATCTAAAATATTAACAGCATAGGGGCCAGGAGAGGGACAGTAGTTCTAGAACCTGTTTTCTTGAAAGTGTCCACTTAAAGTTAAAGTGAAATTGTGATAAAGATGTGCTGCTGCAGTACTGCTGTCCTGGATTAACCGCTGAATTCTACAAAATATAAGTAAACTGTATTTTCAAAGAATCGATTTATGTTCCCAATGCTCCATTGTATGCATTAATTACAAATAAGATAAAAGTACAAGCTGCCATATGGTTCCTTTTGAAAGTGTTTAAGTTGATTGAGTTTTTTTGGCCTATACAAAGTAACTTATTAAAAGTATATATCAAAAAGCAATTGTCTTTTAAGTTGAATAATTGTTTACTAAGAGCAGTTGTTAATATGTAGTTTAATTACACTTACAGTAATCTATATATTATTATTGTTCTACGAAATAAAGCAGCAGTAATACCAAGATATATTTAATATTCAACAGTGAAAAATGTGTTGCAATTCAATATGATCCATTTGACAAAAATGGTACGTTGAGAAACTCTAAGTTTTCATAGGCCACGTTCTGACCTTATGTCTAGATCATAACAATCAACCTTAAACAAAATTCCTTAAGCAGATGGAAGGTCAGGTTTTTTTAGTTCCATTTATAATTGATTTGATGAATACAAACATGGATATAGGACAATTTATGAGCTCTGGGATCATAGTCTTTCAGAAAATGTTAACTGTAATTCAAGTTTCTGCTAACAAGAAAACAAGGCTCATAATTTAATACCAAGCCAAATGTCTACATTATGTCTTAACCTATTTATCTTAAATCTCTTGATAAAACTGATATTTCAAAATAATTTAGTATTCGTTCCACTTGGTTAACTTTGAGCGATGGAAATATGCACACTCATTTCTAACATAGGCCATGTGTATGATTCTGTCAGTTGCATAGATACAATATGTGTGTGGAACAGTTTATATGTGTATGTTAAGCTGCATTTACACTAGACACGATGACATATTTCCCGTAGTTTGTATTCTTCAACACTGCGCGCATCTTTATTGTGTTGTTGTTGTCGTGTCTAGTGACAAAACCAGCATTCTGTCGCTAAAGTAATTGGCATAAGAATGTGGCAGTTGTATAGTACAGAGAAGCTGTAATACTCATTTTACTCATTTATTTGGCAATAGTACGTAAATTCTAGCAGTGACCCATCATTTTACTGCTTATAATGTGGAGAATATGAATTTATCGAAAAGTCGATTTTCTTGTTTTGGTCACTGGTGCTGTTTTTGGGATGTCCCATAAAAAAAAAAGTATAAGAGACAGGTATATATACTGTATATATATTTACATGTAAAATTAAATTTATAAGACCAAAGGAAAAAATATTAGGAGTAATTAGTATTACACTACAATATTTTTAAAATAGTTTGTCAATTGCTGTTAAAATTTATTTCGAAACTAAAAGAGCCTTATTCTATTTGAATTGTTTCTTTTGTTATCAAGAACAAAATGTTCAATTCCTACTTTTGAAAATTTTGTAAAAGTTGGCTGAACAAAATAAGCAGAATAAATGAAGCAGACATTTAGAAAGGGAAATTATTCAGTCTGACGTAAATGCTTACCTTTTGATCAATAGAAAAATTAAGTGTAGCTCAAATATGCTTTTAGTTAGTTCTCCATATGGCAAGTGAAAAGCCACTAAAAACAACATTGCACCACGTATGCTCCTTAACTCTCTCCCGAGCTTAGTAGAAAGAAATTGAGATATCTCTGTTTAAAAGAATGATCTGAGACCTCAGTGCCTGTGCCCTCAGAAATATTATATTTGGTTGTTTTATGGTTTTGGATTGTTTAATATTTCATCAATATTAAGGACTTTAATAGAATCAGTATTTGTAAAGTAAAAAAAAAAATTTTTTTTTTTTTTTACTGGTCCTTTGATAACTTGATCATTTTATAACGCTACTATTGCATGGTTTTTTTTGTAGTTGGTATTGCAAGATATTACATCTAACCCTATATAACTTATTTTTAGGATATGCTGGAATATTCTGCGAGACTGAAGTAGATGAATGCGATAGTCGTCCTTGCCAAAATGGTGGCCAGTGTATTGATTCACTAGCCAGTTATTCGTGCCAATGTGCTCAAGGGTTTGCAGGCGTCAACTGTGAGATCGATGTCAATGAGTGTGCATCTCATCCTTGCCAAAATGGTGGAAATTGTACTGACTCGACCAACTCTTACATCTGCACCTGTAGAGATGGTAAGTAGATGTCCTTCTAGAATTCATTTTTATGATTGTATATAAACCACTGAGGTCATTACTTGTACCTCTCAGGTCTTGTGTTTTTCTTACTTTATGAGTACATGTAATTAAACTATTAGGATGCAAGTTAGAATAAAGTTTCAACATAAAAAGTTCAAAAAATAAATGCTTTAAATATTATATAGTTGGCAAATAGAAAATATTACCACATCACAATACAAAAATAAATAACTGATTTTTATAAAATATAATTTAAATACTGAGAATTGTAAATTTATAGGGTATGACGGTGACAACTGCAATGTCGATATAGATGAATGTGCCACCCACCCTTGTCATTATGGTGAATGCGTTGATGGAATCAATTCATACACATGTAATTGTGAGGACGGTTACCAAGGACCCCAATGCGACATTGAAGTGAATGAATGCGATAGTAACCCATGTATTAATGGGGGTACTTGTATAAATCTACTTAATGAATACAGGTGCTCGTGCTTAGATGGAACCTCAGGTAAGATCATATCATATATCTCATTTATTTCAATTTTTTGTTTTTGACAAAACGAACATAAAATACTTCACACATTCCTTAATCTAACAGTATTCATTTATGTACCATCACACATATAGTTACTTTTGAAAATATATGTACATGATAAAATATATATTTTTATTAATGCATTTTAAATTTTTAGTTTCTAAAAGATCGTCTCATAAAATATTGAAAACCGTCAACAATCTGATAATTAATAATTGAATAGCTCAGTGTAAAAGAAGTTTACCAAATTTAAATGAGAATCAAATCTAAATAATTTGACTCTGATTCAAATACTCCAAAAATTGATAAAGAGTCTATGTAAAATTATAGGAGAATTAATCTAATTTTGATCTTAAAAATTGAAAGTTGATATAAAAAGTATACAATTCATATATTGACATTTATTAATGTAAAAAATGTAATAAAAACTGTTCTTTACAGGAGTGAATTGTCAAATTAACCAAGTAGAATGCGCCAGCAACCCTTGCTTTCATGGCGCCACCTGCCTTGATAGCATCAATGGGTACACCTGTACATGCGTCGCAGGATATTCAGGTGTTCGTTGTGACGAAAATATTGATGAATGCCTATCAAGCCCGTGTGTAAACAACGGAGTGTGCGTGGACCAGGTGAATAGTTATAAGTGTATCTGCGCTCAGGGGTACACAGATCCAAGTTGTAGTACCGAAGGTGATGAATGTGAAAGTAACCCGTGCCGCAACGGTGGAACATGCATCGACAGCATCGGAGCATACTCGTGCAATTGTGTCAATGGGTATGGCGGCGTTCAGTGCGAAGTAGATATAGAGGAATGCTCTTCCAACCCATGTCAGCACGGAGGAACCTGCACCAGTGATGCTGCTCTTGATCACTACAGTTGTAGATGTATTCCGGGTTATTCTGGCATCAACTGTGAGATCAATGATGATAACTGCACACCTAATCCATGCAACAATGGTGGCCTGTGTATCGACAAAGTGGATGGCTTTGAATGTGCTTGTGATAGGCTATACTCTGGCGTGACCTGTGATAATGTGGTGGATCCCTGCAGTAACAATGACTGTCGCAATGGAGCTGTTTGTACCCCACATGAATCTACTCCAGGATACATATGCTCATGTAGTCCAGGATTTACTGGTAAGATTGAAATTCGAGTGTTGAAATTAAAGATATGCCATCTTAAATAATAGAAAACCCTCCAAAATTTAAATGTTAAATAGCTCATTTAATTTCGAATAAAAAAATAAAATTTTATTTTTTTGCTATTTAGCGCACACCGCTGCCACAAAAAAAAAGGAAATTTCAGAAAAAAAATCAAAGTTTTTCTTTAATTTTATTATGCCCGCCACTGCCTTGACGATCTTTAAAAAAAAAGTTTGCGACACAAGGTATAAAAAAAACTTTTATAATTTACAAAGTGAGCAATTCAGGTATTGAAATTAATTTTTCAACTGTTTTTTCACCAATTGCATTTTTACCAATTGCATTAATTGATATTTAACAAAGATGTTTGTTTTGTTTAGGTAACCACTGTGATAGGGACATCATCGAGTGTATCAACTCACCTTGCCGTAATGGTGCCTTCTGTAACAATACCTATGGTTCTTACCAGTGTGTATGTAGAGAGGGCTATACTGGAATTCATTGTACTGAAAACATTGATGATTGTTCTCCAGGTTAGTCAACCATATTTTCTGAGGTTGATTTTCTGTCTTTTGCATAATTTCTTAACGCTTCATTTAACAAACAACTTTATTGTCTGATTTTTTTTTTTTTTTTTAGCAATTATTGTGAAATATTACTGCAAATATTTAGTAACAAAAGTTATTTATAGTCCAGTATGTGATTATCCGTATGTATTTATGCAGTGAATCCAGAGAATCCGCAAATTGCGGGATTCGCCCTGAAATCAGGATGGCCTCCTGTACTGCCACCAGTAAGCAGTCTCTACTTTATTATCAATTGTTTCATTTAAGCACAACTGTGGTAGAATAGTAAATTTCTACTAAACAGGTTACCTTATCAAGAAACGTCCTAAAAATTATTATTTTTTTTTTTATTAATAGATCCATGCCTAAACGGCGGAACATGTATGGATGGCACTGCAGATTACTCTTGTGAATGCGTTGATGGATTCAATGGTAAAAACTGCGAGGAAGACAAAGACGAATGCGCAAGTAATCCATGTGAAAATGGTGCAACGTGTAACGACTACGTGAATAGTTTTACTTGTACGTGTTTGGTTGGATTCAGTGGAGTTTATTGCCAAACCAACGACGATGACTGTACTCCAAGGTAAGAAGATACTCGTCTGTATCTATCAATTATTTAAATATTATATTACATTGTTGAATCTGTTGGTCAAAAAAATCAAACAGGAATTTATCGCAAATTTGTCATATCCTATTAATTGATTTCATTCATTATTACAAACAATATAATAACAACTATGATATATGATGATAAAGTATTATTTATAATGAATTTGAGTTTTTTGTTAGCACCAGTGTTTCCGGTGTATTGGATTATTTTCCATTTTGATAGGCTATTTTTGATATTGTTTAGTCTACAAATTATTTCGGTTGTTGTGATCAACATAGCATGGCATTGATTTTATAGACATCTAATTTTGGATCAATTTATGATGCTAGAATTTAGGCAGCTTGCTCTGTTCCCATGGTAGATCCTAGAGGTTGTAATCTTCTGTATTGGCTCAGCTAAAACCCAATAACAAGGCCGGTGTTGGATTGATTGCTTTGTGTGCTGGAAATTGTTTGAAGCGTTAGTGTGCCGGACGGTCGTATTTTGACACGATCTCTGCTTAGAATAACACTTTGCGAGAATTTGCTGAATTGTTGCTTAATGATTGGTGTTATGATAGCTAAATGATGCTTTTCAGTGACATTGAGGGTTGCCTGTTATTGGAAAAATAGTTACCACGGAAATAGACATGTTTACAAATTGTACACATTTTACTGGAAGTTCATATGTTGTATTTTATTACTTGCAACATTTTTTAAGTGTACCCTACAAGAAGCAACTAGTTATTAAGTTATTTTAAATGCCAGGAAAGACTTAGTAAGTCAACTTGTCTCTGAGTTTTCCTGTTGCACTTTTGTGAAAATTAATGTCTATTTCATCATAATAAAATGTATTTTTAGACCTATAAGTTTAAACATTTCCACATTAATTAAAGATTTGAATAGTATATTCTATAAAATGAATTGTCAATACCATATGTTCAATTCTATTTTTAACACCCAACTATTATAATATTAGATTTCTGTTTGTATATAAACAAGCAAACAATTTGTGAATAGGTGATATGGAATGTGATGGTGCCAAGTATTTAATAGGATTGACACAAAATGAAATCATCATTGTGTATCATTGGTGTACTCAGCTACCTGATTAGTTATTTTGTCAGATTAATTCAACTGTAGTGTAAATGCTACAGTAAAGTACATATTAATCAATGTAAGCACCCACCTTCATTATCCTATGGCACGCGACATGCTTAATGAGTGTACTTAACGAGTACCCAGCCAAATGCACTTTTAACACTAATGTCTGGACCTTGGTTTTCCAACAGCTGATATGAAAATGATTTTGGTAAAGTTGCCGGATGCTTACTCTATATCAATTATATCTGCTAAATATTTTAGGCATCTTGTTTCCCAACTCATATGTTCATTAGTTTTCAAAATGTTGAATTATGTATGTTCATGATCATAATATTGACTCAGTTTTATTTTGGGTTCCTCATCCCAAAATCTTTACTTTATTAGAAGGTAGAACTAATTTTTTGTATGTTAAAATTAATCATATCTTTATCAGGAACAAAGTAATAAAACAATGCTACATATATGATTGTAAAGATCTGTAAAATTACAAGAAATATATACAAAGAGTCAGAAAACAAATAAGCCAACACTATTAACAGGCCTAATTTTAATTTTGTTTATTTAAACAGTATCAATATTATTTTTATATTTTAATGAATGGCTAGTATTTGCTAAAACAAATGCAAAGTATATAATTGACATTAGGAAAATGATTTAAAAGCAAGTAAGAATTTCCTGTTTATATTGAAAACAAGCTTTTAAAATATGGTAATGCGATTGTGTCTTCTAGTTCTTGTTTGTACGGTGGATCTTGTCATGATGGTGTTAACACATACACATGTGCTTGTCAGACTGGGTATGTTGGACCTAACTGTCAGACCCCAGTCAATGAGTGTCTCTCAAGCCCTTGCGAAAACGGAGGTACCTGCATTGATGGCCTTAGCTCATTCACCTGTAATTGTCAGAATGGTTATTGGGGTGAAAGATGCCATGTAAGTTTTAATAGTTTTAATCACATTTGTAGTTTATACATTGAGAAATGAGAGAAAGATGAGAGTAAATACATAGAGCAAATATTAATATGATAATTATGTACTTTGTTATTGTTAATCACAAACTAATCACATATGCCTATTGTTTTGAACATTTGTAGTCATTAAGTTCTTTCCTGACTATCACTATGTTGTGTGACAAAAACAAAAACTGGTATGCCATATATAGTCATGATGTGCCTATATATGTTCATGATGTGATGTCAGAATGACCATATTAAGGCATGTCACATGTTTTTGTCAAATCAAATTTGATTGGACAGGGCTTCATATTATTAACTGTAGGTGAAGTCAAATATTTTTAGTTGATATTGACAAGGTATTAAATGAACACAAACTTAATTTTTCTTAACCTGTTTTTGATATTATGTTATTTTGTATTAATAGAGGTTGAAGAGTGACCTTCTTTACTTTTAAAAATAATTTAAAATAGTAGTTATTACTTTTCACTGAAAACCCAATTATATATTTTTTTGTGGACTAAATTCTCAATGCTTATAAATATTTCCATCTTCAGGAGAGAGTGAACTGGTGTAGTCAAGATCACAACTTATGCATGAACGGGGCCACTTGCAGGAACAATAATGATACGCTCTTTGAGTGCCTGTGTGCCACTGGTTGGAGTGGACAAACTTGTGATATGCCTACCATCTCATGTTACCTGGCCGCAAATAGAACAGGTAAGTTGTAGTCTTGTGAAAAACTTCTTTTTGGCAATTTTTTTAAGGAGAGTTTACACTAAAAATATAGGTAACTGTTCATTTGTTTATAAAAAACTTTTGTCATTATATCTGCTGCTGAAGGGATTCCTATAGAGAATAATGGAACTGCCCAGTTGTAGTGCCATGTATTCAGCTTTACATATGTGTAATTGGTAAAAAACCCCTTTTTTTTCAATCGTTTCTAGGAAAGAGTGTTAGTGAACTTTGTGAGAACGGTGGGCAATGCGAGAATATTGGGACCAGCCACCAGTGTATCTGTGCACCGGGATTCTCTGGTAGCTACTGCCAGACAAACAACGATGAATGCGCATCGTCCCCATGTCTGAATGGAGGAACGTGTCTTGATGGCATCAACAGTTTTACTTGTACTTGCATAAATGGATTCATGGGAACCAGATGCGAAACCAACATTAACGACTGTGCTGAGAATCCGTGTATGCACGAAGGAACCTGTCATGATTTAGTTGGTTCGTACAGGTGTACATGTAAAGCAGGCACTTCAGGTAGGTCTAAGTTCGCTGTATATTGAGCACTAAAATAATATCTGATGTTTTTTAAATCACTTAAACGTTCAACTGCAAGCAAATTGCTAATTACAGGATGAAAAGTTAAGAGACTGAGGGAGTGGAGTTGTGCTTTGGTTGTGAGAAAAAGAATCTTGGTGTGACAGTATTTTCGCCCAGGACCCTTGGGCTTGAGGGTAATCATCTAAAGCCTGGGTCTATAAAATCGCAACGCACTATACCATACAGTTTTCATTGACCAAATTATAAAGCCTTCTTGATTACATTGGGAACAACTACACAATGCGATGATTGCATTGAAAATGCTGTAGAGTCAATTTTGCAATTTTATGGAATCAGACTTGAACCACAAATATAAAGCTCCACTCCAAATAGTGGCTTTGGATTTTGGTTTTAACATGATAAAACACCCGCAGATAATTTAGTATTAAATTATAAATTGTAAATTTTGTTTTTTGGATTTAGGTCCGAATTGTGAGGAGAACTGGAATGATTGTGGGCCAAATTCATGTTTCCATGGCGGTACTTGCCAAGATGGGATAAACACATTCCACTGTGACTGCCCTCCCGGGTTTGTTGGCCAGCGTTGTGAGGGAGATGTCAATGAATGCTTATCCAATCCATGCAACTCAACCGGAACGAAAGATTGCATTCAGCAAACCAATGATTATCGATGCATTTGTAAGACAGGATTTGAAGGTAAGATTATCGCTCTACAATTCATTAGGTATTTGCTACATGAGCCATCACATCCCTTGTATTAGGAAACAGTCACATAATTAATATTTACTGACAGTTACCGAGGCCTGGAAAAAAAATTATTTGTGCCTCTGACCATGAAAACTATCTTGATCAAATGCCTCTAGGACCAAATGTTATCTATACACTATTATAGCAAAACAGTAGTACATTTAGTGGTTTGTAGCAAGCAAAAATGTTATACTTATGCATTAAATTGTGATCTGCAAACAAAAAAAAGATATACATTTTCCCCTTTTTTTCTAAAATACCTCCAGGTTAAAGGTCAATGCCTCCAACTGGTGGTCGTGCACTATTCCAGCCCTGATGTGTGTCATAAAATTTAGAAAAACCCTCTACAAATTTAAATATTTAATTCACTAATTTATAAGTATTAAATGAATGACCAACTTACAATAATGCACAGATCAGATTTATACAATTGAATTTTTTGAAAATGAAAATCTTAAATTTCATTACTAGACAAATTATATGTCTATGTAAACATTTATAGAAATTTTAATTCTCATGCATTATTATTTAGAGTAGAAAATATTTTCACATTATAATTTTCATTTGAATGTTAGTAACCTAGGCAATGATTTGATTTTTCTCAGGGCGGTCATGTGACATTGAAATGCAGAAGTGTACTCCGAACCCTTGTCTCCATGGCACATGCTCAGTCACTTCAACTGGCTTTCAATGTAACTGCTCATACGTAAGTTACCTGCGGCAAATTACCATTATTAATTAAATTACCAGTAACTTATTAATTAATTATATATTAATGATATATAATATTAATCATTTTTTATGTATTATAATATAAGAATATAATAGAATATAAATGTATGGTAGTGATAATAATCATATAATAAAAATTAAATAATGGTGTAGTGTAATGTCATAATCATACACAAATCACCAGCAATTAATATTATATTTCTTACGGGTTATTCATGGAAAAAATAATAACATAAACATTCAAAAAGCATCTATTATTTTTTTAATTTTTACAGTATATATACACTAATTGTTTTTATTCAACATTCTTCAGGGGTATCATGGCAAGTCATGTGATCTGCAGCTTCTCTCCTGCAGTCAAAATCCTTGTCAGAATGGTGGCACTTGCCACGATCAACAGAATGGCTTCAAATGCTTCTGTCCTGATGGAACATCTGGTGTTCACTGCGAACTCAATGCCGATGAATGCCTCTCCATGCCCTGCACCAATAATGGTATCTGCCAAGATCAGATTGATCATTACTTGTGCGATTGTCCACAAGGGCATAATGGTGTTCGCTGCGAAGTGAAAGATCCAAACTTTGAAGGTGGCATTGGGACAGTGGTACTTCCACCTACCCGTCCACCAAATCCAGCAGATGATCAGTGCGCTGATCCAGAATGTGACGAGTTGGGAGGCAATGGTTTTTGTGATGTAAGCATCTTATTTATCGTTCATGCTTGAATAGGCGCAGCGGCGCTTATAAAATTGTTGGAGGCTTTAGTGCGGCGTTTATTCGAGAGCGGCACACATAAAAAAATATTGGCGTGGCACTTTCCATGTTGCCTACATATTCCAGAGATTTCCGTGTGCAAATTCTGTAATAACGAAGTGTACAGTGGTCTCTGGCAAAAGTGAAAACTTTTTGAACTTTGACTGCTTTGAACATAGCTACGCCGCGCGACTTTACATTCAAGCATCCAATTTACAATGCACCCTCTATTTAGAACAATTAAGGAACAATTAACGTACTTGGTAACAAGCTTTGGCGTAATGCGAACAGCCTATCTCAGATCCATGGCAACAACTAGGACGCCCTCTCCCAAAAGTGATTTCTTTTCTGTGCCAAATCAACACTTCTATTTGTTAAGCTTAAATCGCTGAGAACGCCATCTTGTGTTTATAAGATCTTTGATATTTACTCACTTTTCAGAATAAGTGCAACAACCATGCGTGTAACTGGGATAGCACTGATTGTTCAGTAGGTTTGGATCCATGGGAGAACTGTCCTGTCAAAGACTGCCACCTTGTCTTTCAAGATCATCAGTGTGACCCAGATTGTAATACTTCTAATTGTCTGTATGATGGATACGACTGCGACAACAAAAAACCAGTGCATGAATGCAAGTAAGTCAGAACTAATTATATATTATAGTACAGTATAAATATATCTTTTGGCTCAACAAAATATATGCTTCAGTAATTTTAATGAAATGTAGTACTGATTTGTACATATATTTTTTTATTAGTGTGTACTGATTCATAATTATCATTCAGTCAATATGCACCATTTATATTAGGGTTTATATTTATATAGTCCAGCACATTATTTACCATTTAATTTAGGACATTGATTTCTATAGAAGTAAAAAATAATAATTTAAAACTACATTAAAAATCAGAATATATGTGCAAAATACCTACACAGTGAATTTAAGATTGATTTAACCAACATTAAAATCAAAAAGTACCTAAATCAGACCTAAATGTACATTAATAATGATCAAACCTCCTTATCAAAAAGTAAAAATAATGTCATCAGAATGAATTAGGAAGCAACATAAAGTTTTAAGTGAGGTGGTGGACTGTTATCAAATCTAAATGTGTATGGTATAAGGATCATCATTATATAAAAAGTTATATTTAAAAATAAGAATGTACATTGTATTTTTAAAGTTTAAATTATCTGTACTTTTCCAGCACTGTCTACGATACCTATTGCGAGAGAAATTTTATGAACGATGTATGTACCGAATGGTGCAAATCCCCCCAGTGTGTTTGGGATGGTTTGGACTGCGATACAGACCAACCGGTCTATGCAAAGAATGCCCTCGTCTTGATCCTCAGTATCGATTACACCCTCATGCTGACTCCAGAGGTCTCCCGTGCATTCCTCCGGAACCTCAGTATCATCTTGCAAACAACACCTTTCATTATGAATGATAAAGATGGCAAACCGATGATCTATGAATGGCGATCTGATATTGATGCTGCTGCCGGAAATAATTTGCAACGTGTACGTCGATTCATGTCCCCCGGTCGCAAAGCAAGAAACAGCAATGGAGCTGTAGAATACGGGTATGTGAAAAGTTTTTTTTTTGTAATCTAAGTAAAATTGAGAAATTTAGTCTTTCAAAATTAATAATTGAGAATTTTCTAACATGTTGACAAATTCACTGATTCTTTATTTACAGATCAAAGGTTTATATAAGACTTGACAATAGAGGGTGCCTTAAGGCTTCAATGACTTGTTTTGGAACAGCCGCCGAAGCAGCAGCTTTTCTAGGTGCAGTGACATCATCTGGTAACAGCTCATTTTATCTGCCAATTATTACTGCCAAAGGTGAGCTTTGAGTAGTTTTTTTTTTATTTGAACATTTTCTATGATTATATCATCATCATTGTCATCATTCTTGAAAATGTTTGTCTGGGTCTACACGAAAATCTAACTTGAATATTATTTCATATAAATATTATATCTGTAGGCTTGAAACCGAAAGGTGATCTAAAATAAGAGGGCAAACTATATTATAAAGATTTTGGTTAGTATGATTCTTAATTCTGAAGATAATCAAGAAACTGTTTTATTTTTTATCTAGATGAACCTATTGAAACAGAAAGCTCACCGCAGACCTACCTTATATCAGCAGCTGTTGTCATTGTACTGCTCCTTGGTTTACTTTATGTTTTAATGAACAGACGGAAATTCCGTACAACCATGGTTTGGTTCCCTGACAACTTCAAGACCAAGGATTCCAAGAAGAGACCACATGAAGAAACACCTAGACAAATGCCAGTTGGACGTGAAGGTTCCCTGTCATCGGACAGTATTAGCAATGACACAGGTGCATGCTTGGAGGTAGATGAGAATGGAGAACACCTGACTATTAATCTTGATGACACCAATGTTCAGAGTAACAAGCGAAGAAAGGTACTGTACCATATATAATAGTGATAATATAATAACAATTATCAAAGATTTATATTTCGCATTGTGTTAGTATTCAAATTAGGTTAGTTATTTTTATTATTATTATTATTATTCTTTCTTTAGGCATGCAACACATGTGCCAAGGTTTGCCAATAGCGAATATATATCACTGTCCTACTTGTAGGTGACAATCCCTTACACAAGACAAACATACACACACGATGCTTTAGACAAACTAAATCCGTTAATGCAATATAAACAAATGGATAAATAATAATAATGCTCAATTAGGAACAAGATGTTATAATCGTCTCAAATATAGCCCTTCAACGAAAAGGGTTTTGTTGAAACAACCTGCAAAATATAAAAGGAAATAAATGTGAACTTCAGTTAACAGACCGCAGAGATCCACCAGGCACCATTTTCTGTCAGTTTGATGCAAGAAGCCAGCCAGATTATTACTCAAAAAATGTTTTAAATTATAAGTAGCCCAAAAGGGGAAGAAGCAAAATATTACATTATGACAATCATGTGTATTTGCATAAGTAACTTTAATAGTAAAATTCAAAGGAAATGATAATTTATCCTTCTTGATGCCCTCTAACAAGAACCAATGTAAAATTTTATATGGGAACATTTTCTACGAATAATAAATATAGCTCCTCATTATTCTGTTTGTGTCATTTTTATAAGACAAAATGAGATTAATCAAACAGTTGAGTGGAAAATTAAATTGAGTTTTGTTTCTTAGATTGAGCCTTGTTCACCACCGTACTCTGGACAGACAGTGTTATCCGATGAAGAATTGGATCAGCGCGAGTGGAAGCCTCAACATATCATTGCTAATGGTGGATATCAAGATGGCGCACTCACACCTCCGCAGGATGAAGATTCTGCCGAAGATGTTGATGTCAGAGGTCCAGGTAATGCCATTAGCTTAGAAAGTGTATTTCAGATAACATGTAGTTATGGAAAATATAAGGAATATAAGAAAGGAACTGAACAGGAAGATAAAATGAGAAAGGAAAAGAAAAGCTGACCTATCATGCCACCGAAACCTCTGATTCTCAGGGTTCCAGAGATGATCAGAAAGTAAATGAAATTGCAAAATTGAATTAAAAATTAAAATAAAAACTGATGAATTGTGATACTAAAATTGAACAATAATAAACAACAATTCATATACCGTAAAATTTATGTGGAATAAAAAAGTAACCTTTTTTTATTTATTTACTTATTTCTCCATATTAATATCCTAAATAATACTAATTAGTCCTACTGTCTTGTTTGCTAAAGTGTCAACGTAAACAATTTACGTCAATGACCACCAAATATTCTGTTAGCAGAATTGTTAAAATTATTAATAATGATAATGGTATACACACAATCAAGAGATGGTTTCTAGATTAAAATCTAGATTGTAAATTTTAGAATGATTTTTAACATTCACTATATTCATAAGTAAAAATAAAAATACTTTTTTGTAGGTGGTAAGACTCCGTTAATGTTGGCCGTGATTAGCAGCGATCGAGACCCAGATGGCAAAAATGAGCACTCTTATGCGTTGATTGAGAATTTGATACTTCAAGGAGCGAATGTCAATGCCAAGACTGATAAAACCGGTGAGACTGCGCTTCACTTTGCTGCTCGGTTCATGTGCCCTGGAGCAGCCAAGATCCTTATTGATCGCGGTGCTCATGTGAATTCAGAAGACAACAATGGACGCACACCCCTGCACACTGCAGTTGCTGCTGATTCATATGATGTTTTTAGGGTAAGGGAAAAAAGGTTTAAATGTTCAATATTAAACACCATGTAACATATTACACGCAATAGAAAGATATTGTTTTCAGATTTTAATTTAAAATATTGTAAATTTAAATTTACATGTCTCATTCACATCGAATAGTACTGTAAATAAATACAGTAATTTAAACAAAATTGTTACATACATTGAGTTTATGAATTTAGAACACTTCACAAGCATAAAATTTTAATTATTTTACAGCTTCTTGTGAGTAATAGAGCAACAAATGTTGATGCTAAAACCAACAAAGGAATCACTCCACTGATGATGGGTGCACGTTTGGCTGTTTCTAATATGATTGAGGACCTGATAGAAGCTAATGCAGACGTTAACCTCACTGATAATGATGGCAAGAGTGCATTGCATTGGACCGCATCAGTCAATAATGTCCATGCATGTCAGATTCTTTTGCAGAGTCGAGCCAACAGAGATATCCAAGACCATATGGTAAGTGTCCATCAATCTACAATGATTATTCCTTTACTTTCATTGTACAAGTATTTGACAGCACTTCTCCACAGCATCCTTAAGCAGAAAAGAAATCTACATGATTTTTCACGGAATATGAACCTACCAGCACATGATTTCAGAAGAAATAAACTGTAAACTATTTTGCTGTTAAATATAATACTAAATAATTATTTACTATTTAAGGTTTTATTCAAAATTTACATTGTATCCAGTGGCTAACTTGCGTAATATTTACAAAAACGTACAAAGATATATTGCACATTAAAATGGCACTAAAATGGATACTAATGAAGACATGTAAAACTCACAAATTATAATATAAATCAAGCTAAGACACATTAAATATTTAAAAGATTTTAAATATATAAATGTTTTATATAATTATTATATATAAAATGAAATATTTTCATTGTATTTGATTTATATTATTCTAGATCCTTACAATTGTTTGTTGTTCTTCCATTTTAGGATCAAACCCCTCTGCTGATAGCTGCAAAGGAGCATTCTGTAGATGTAGTTAAATGTCTGTTGGATCACCATGTCAACCGTGAAATAACAGATCACATGGACCGGTCAGCCCGTGACATTGCACAAGAAAATTACATGCAGGATGTTGTAGAGCTACTGGATTCCTATAAAATCGTACCAAGCCCAGCGAGTCTGAGTATGAATGGTGGTGTCTTGAGTCCTTCTATTGGAAAGGATGAGTATGATTTGAGCTACATGCACCACGTGGGGAAGCATCCGAAAAAGAAAGGCAGATCAAAATCAAATTCACATCCAATGCATGATTACAGCACAAAGTCGCCCTTGTCAGAAAATGGCAAGGAGAGAAAACCACGACAACGAAAGAAGCGTTCTTCAACAGACACCAGTGTGGTGATGTCGCCGGTGAACTCACTTGATTCGCCACAAACCCATTATGAAAGGACTCCTCCTCCTTACTCAAACGGGCAAAATATGATGACACACGGTATTGGCTTGGAGGATGGCGTTGTACCAGTAAGCACCAGTCATATGCAACTGCCCCATCACTTGTATACTGATATGGCTCATATGAATGGTTCACCGCATCATGCAAGCATAGCTAGTATGAATGGCGAGGTGACATGGGTTCAGGACGGCATGAACCACCTCCACCAACAGCAACACAGCTTAGCTGTCCAGCAAATTCAGCAATCAATGGTTGCGACACCCACTGTATCTGAGCCTAAAATGCAGCAGCCACACATGACAGTCAGGTCACCAACAAAAGCTAGTTCCTACTGTAATCCCACAGTGTCCATGCATAACATGATGTCACACCAGTTACACCACAGCCCGGGATCTATGTATGCCGTATCAGGCATGACGGATCCTCACAACCATATGGGAATCAATGGCGTCATGTCAGTTAAAGAGCTTCATCCCCTCAAACATTCCTACAGTGCAGCGCACCAACATCAACCCATGTCAAACATGATGCAGCACATTGCCAAGTATCCTACACCTCCCTCGCACCATAGTAATGGAACGTCACCCCACTCTACAGGTCCCCCAAGCAATGAAAGCACCAATGCGTATCTCTTCCCAGAAAGTTGTTTGACCCCTTCACCAGACTCGCCTGGAAAATGGTCAAGCTCATCACCACACTCAGCCCATTCAGACTCGTGGTCAGAGGGCATATCAAGTCCTCCAGGGGCCACGATCATTAATGGACAATTACCTCATACAAACGAGCAAATTGCTGGGTATCGTTCGCTCTACATTTAGTGAGAGCCTGTGTATTATTATTACAAACCTATGTGTAAATTGTAAGTCTTGTTGACGAGTCTTAGTCCAGCCACACTGTCTCAATGTAGGTTACTATGCAAAGTTTCTAAGACACCAGGTGTGATTAAAATTATCCATTCCGAATTATGTTGGTTGAACATTCCGCCGTCGTTGCCACCGCTACGCGATTGTTGTCAGTGGCATTTTTAGAGGTGAAAAATCTCTGAGGCTGATCGTTTGCAGCTGTAGGATATTAAGATGAAGAGGACTGTTTTACTTATAGGCTGAAACCTTTCATCGAAGCAGTTAGGGAGCATAATAAACAGATATGTTCCCTCTGTGTTGCTCTAATGAAGTATTTTAGATGGCGGCAAAAAAAGAGGACCAAATGCTTTTGTCTTCCATGCACACATGTAAAGCCCACATGACCAGAAAATACTTAAATTGTTCTTAAAGGTTGTTTGTGGAAAGTAATTTAGTGTGATGTTTGACAATATTGTTACGTTTCAAGGCACGGTGAAAGTGTGCCATATGAATATTGGCGTGACTGCCTTGTAATTAGACCATACAGCTATATTTTGATACACAATCCAGTACAAAAAAATAAGTGTATTTTTTCTAGGTTATTTAGGCTTGAGGTACATCTGCATTGTACAGTTTTAATCAGTTTGAACCACTTTTTATCTGAAGTTGCATTTGTTACAGAAATATTTTATGGACAATTTTATGCTTGAATTTTTTTTTTTATGGCTTTGTTCAGTTACCTTTTATTTAAATAAATTATGAACTTGAATGAAAGGTTGTACGTTAGACAACATATGTTGGTAAGTTGCATTTTAGTACAGATTTTATCAACTTCAATGGTATAGGAAGAAAAATAAGAATACTTAGTATTTAAGATAAGTATTCTCGGTGATCTGCCATTCAGAATGGTATAGTTTATATATTTTTTTTCTCTTGAATGGTGCAAGATACAGAATAACAAGCTGTGTTTATTCTGTATTTTCATGTAAATTGTATATTAAGTGTCTTGTCTTGGTTATTTCCACATTTTATTGTAAAATATATACAGGAGATAAATAGAGACTTGGGGAAAAATTTGAGGGAGAATAATTTTTATGGAATATTTGACGACCAACATGAGGAGAAAATAAATGAATGTCTGAAATCCAATTTCTTGTTGGGGAAAATTTATTTTTTTTATAATAATGTTTTACATTACACATGCCCATGAGTATAATGTATATGTTTTTTAAAAATAGTAATTTTGAAATGACTATCATTTTGAAACAACTCGATGAATCAATAATTATTGAAATATGTTATGAAAATTATTAATTTCAAATGTATTTTTCGTAAACAAAACAATGATGACTGGGTATAAAGTCATTTTCATAAAACAAACTCTAAGATAAGAAGAGTTGGGCCATACCATTAATATAGAGGGTATATTTGTTATGACAAAAAAATTTGACTATATTCTGGTATGACACTTAATAGATGGCCCACAATTCTCACTATTGATTGTTAGTGAATATTTTTGTATATAGATTTTAAAAGAGAGAACATGCCTGATTGGAGTTCAGGTTACAACTCCAGGGTATACAGCAGATTATGAAAAACAAGAAATTGTTATTTTAAGTAAATTAACAAAAGCGTACTTAATAATATTGCACTTAATGCCATCACTGTGAAGTGGTATTAAAATGCTTACATTGCAGGAACTTTATTTTAATAATTGTTTGTGTGTCATGAGTTTTTGTAACAATTATACAATTTTATCACTAAAAACGAAATATCTTTTCAACGTCCACAATCAAAATTTTAAAAGTGTACTTAAAGATTTCTTACTTGTTTCAGTTTTTTACTGGTATACTTATCAATTTCATACACATAAAAGTTTGTTTAAAAGTTTGAGCAGTTTTGCTTCAAATTTGTAGCTTTAGGTAATTTTAGAATTGCTTTGATGAGGCTTGTTTCAGCACAAAGTTACAAGAGATCATTTGTGTTTAATATTATTATTATTGTTGTATTCATGAATAAACAAACTGATGTACCTTAAAGCACAGAATTCTTTATTTTATAAAGTCTGGTCAAAGAATGAATTGATGATGATAGTGACAGTGAAGATGATATCATACAATACATTATATAAGCAAAATAAAGATAAACTGTGATGGAGAGGATCAGACAGAAGAGGAACCGAAAATAATATAAATACAATATCTAGTTTGCCGAATCACAGATTGCCTAGTCCACTTTGCCGAAATCCCATTTTGCCGAAACCCAGTTTGCCGAAAGTCAATCAAAAGCAATGAAACATTAAAAACAGCATAACACTCTTTTACCGTTACTGCGACTGTACGAACTGGTGGAGAGATGTGTATAAGAGACAGGGAGTGATGTGATTGCCCTACCTGACATAGTATCGTGCCGAATACTAAGTACTCTACATTCCAACATACTTGCAAAGTGATTCGGGTGGGAATCGAACTCACGACCTCCAGATTAGCCTGGTGTGATTATGCACATTTTTTTCTCAAGTATTTGGGAACGTACTTCTATGATATTTTTTCCTGATGCAGTCATTAACATATAAACAAAGAGATAATAAATATTGTTTTATATACATGGCTGTCGAAAAAACAACACCGGCCACACCGGACCAATTCTTCTCTTATTTTTATTACTTTAAAGAATACATATACATTTACCTATAAATTATATTAATAATTTTTGCACCTCAATGACATTTGAATGTTTCACCATGTACATGTTTTGTAGTACACTATTAGCCTATGCATTTCAAGCTCCTGTTATAAATTAATTGAAAACTTTTTTTAAATCTTTGATTTTAGCAAAATATGCTCACCTTTGCCCCAACCATGCAGCGCATGGGTAGGGTAACTAGTCGCCCACTAGGACGGAAGTAACTCTATAGGTTGATCTAGGGTTGTTATTTTCTTTGGCACAATATTTTCAAGGGTTGGGGCTTAGCGGAATGGTTCCTCTCCTCGGTAGTATGGGAGGTAGAGCTGTTGGCTCAGTATCCTTTTATAGCCATTTGTAAACATAATATTTACATTTAAATAGCATTGTAAGGATCGGCTCAGAGTAGAAAATGTAGTAGTAAACTGTAAACAAGATATGAGATACAGTAAATATAACGCAGGTAAAATTATCCCCCCACAAGTCATCCTCGGTATTTCTAATTTATTTATAAAATAATAATTAGGCCTATATATTAAAAAGTGACTAAACTACATGGTAAAAACTACCCCTTTCGAACACAGTCCCAGTATTTATGAGTGAACTTTCTATTGTTTTCCTCTGTTTACAGTGTAATGTATGTCTGTCTGTCTATCTACTCAAATCAGTAAGAAGAGAATGCCGTATATATAAAGGGCGCTTCTTGGAAAAGGGTTTTTATATTTGAAGTCGGAAAACATCAGTGTCGTCGCCACCAGCGGAGGTGAGGGATAGATGATCTGGGGAAACGGGATGTTGGACTTCCCATTGAAAAAAATCGTAGCGAACACTATACTTCTATAGTCTCAGGGTGAAATTACCTGGCATGAATTACCGAGAAATTTGGATCTTCATATCTGGAAATCTATGGCACCGTCACTGAGCATTACCTCCGATTGGGGCTGTGGTGAGGTTTCGTCGGATCTACGCCATATTGTCAAAATCTAGTTTGCCGAATCACAGATTGCCTAGTCCACTTTGCCGAAATCCCATTTTGCCGAAACCCAGTTTGCCGAAAGTCAATCAAAAGCAATGAAACATTAAAAACAGCATAACACTCTTTTACCGTTACTGCGACTGTACGAACTGGTGGAGCCAGTGGAAAGTAAGGGCATAGACATAAATATCTATCCATAATATTCATCCATAATTGGAAATTGTTCTTTTCCACTCTCAAAGAAGAAAGAAAATTACATGATTTATCGGGGGAAAAAAGAAACTCTATCACATGTCTATTGTTAAATAGGCAAATTCAAGAATTGCAAAACTGAGAATTTCGAAGCCTTCCAATGCGGTGTGCGATGCGATCTCTGCTTATGCGTATAATAAATAACTGCTTATTGCAGTTTAATGATTAGTTTTGTCCTATTCTGTAAATCAAACTTGATTAACAATTTAGCTATCAGCAAAAAAAAGAAATAATTAAATAGGCCTGTCAGATAAAATGTATTATAAGCATATTTATAATAAGTGTATAAAGTTTAATTAAAATAATAATATTTATACCTAAATGAAATAAATAATAATCTACAATTATACACCCGAATCAGGGGGCTGACTAGAGCCTCTGTCAGCGTCCCGGCATAAAAAAAAAATCGTGTGTTCGCGTTTGGAGTTCTTTTGGGTTTTTTTATACCACAATATTAGAAATTGACAATCAAAATACGTTATATGGATAGGCAAATTATCATTTTTGGTCCCGGACGATTTCGCCAAATAAACGCCCTGAGGGGTTAATTGTTGAGAATGGTTTTTGAGGGTAAGTTTATTCGAGGCAGGCATTTTTTTTTTTGTGTGTAAAATGGATACGTACTGTAGGCCTATATACTCAATCGCCCCATAATTCCACTGTAATTAAAATTTAATTCTACTGGAGTAAAACGTTAGTAGAAAGTATTGGGAATGATGTTTCCATTAGATCTGTTTACAGTCAAGAGGGAGTTTATTCGAGGAAAAATATACGCCACGCGGTGTTTTCGAAAGAGGCGTTTATTCCAAATGAGGCTCAAGAAATACAAATAGGAAAATGTTAATATGGCTCCTCCCTGACCCACCCATCATGTTTTCAAAAGCATGTAGGCCTATGATATACTTTTGTACGATGGTGACGGCAAATGATTCGGCAAACTTGGTTTCAGCAAACTGGGTTGTCATGATTTCGGTGAACTGGATTCGGCAAACTGGGTATCGGCAAAAGGCCTAATTCGGCAATCATGGGTTTTGGCAAACTGGATTTTTTGAGAGTCGAATACCGTTTCGGCCCCAGTGCTGGACCAATTCGAGGGTGGACGCTAATAAGTGACGTTTTCAGACTGGAGACTGTGCTCTAAAATTGTTTTGAGTCATTTTCATACAATGGCATTAAAACTGGAATATCTGAGTGAACATGTAAACAACAGTAAAAAAAACAGAGCTAAAGATTTGTTGTTGTGTAATGACATAGTGGTAGGCACATTTTTTTGCAAACTACATTCAAAATGTAAATCTAAGTATTCTTTAAAAGTAGGCTAAGTGAAATCATTTTAATTAATTTATTATAGTGTAATATTATTTATATATTGACTTAAAAACGATCCTTGGGTCGTAAAATGCGTTTTACGACCCATTTAAATACAGTAGGCCTATTTATAACAATCGCTAAATATATAAATTCATGATCTTAATGCCATTAATGTTCTCAAAATAATTGTCTGTATATACATTCTATAATTTTTCTATCTAAATCATTTTAATTAATTTAATAAAGTGTAATATTATTTACCCCGGTATATAGTGACTTAAAAACGATCTAGGCCTATGGGTCATAAAACTTTTATTTAAATAGGCCGATAAAAATCGCATAAAAATACACATTCATGAAAACATCAGGATGCAGCATAAAGTGGTCTTAATGCTGTTAATGTCCTCAAAATCTTGGTGTATTTATTCAGTTTAATATTATTTTCTGCATTGTGTATTCTATACCGAATATTTTTGAGATATTACAGAGGAAACATTCAAAAACTAAAAATTTACACTATGTTTTAATTAATTTCATATCCAGACTTTTATATCCAGAATTTCTTGTCCGAAAAGCCCAGCTGGCAGGAAGCTTGATGAGTGACACAATTTTTGGCTATCTATGAATAATTGGTAAGTTCTGTTGCCCTTTCACGATTGAGTCCGGATATTCTTTCCTTGATAGTTGTGGCTTATTTGTCTACATCACTGGAATAAAAAAATATTGAGAAAAGATTTGGAAACAGAGAAAGAATTATAACGGAATATCATCAAAACATAATAGATAAATAAAAACAGAGGCAGAGGCAGTGGTTTAAAATAAAGGGGGCCCACGGGGAGGGAATTTGTCAGATGAAGGGTTCACGTCACCTCAGCCCCACCATGGTTGGGGCTGAGGTAAGAAACTTTTCGATTATGGCACCTCTAGATGGCCAGAAATGGCACTCTCAGATTTTAAATTTTAATGTAATTTTCTTTTTTTCTCAAATTTTTTACCATTTTAAAAGATTTAGGGTGCGGTGGGGAGGGGGGAAAGCCGGCTGCCACCCCACCCTACCCCCTCCCCAAAAGGAGAAACCTAACATAAACATTATCGTATTCACTTATCGCAATGGACAATGTTGCTGATACAACATAATAGTACTTCACAATTCTTTATCATATCAGCATTATCATATTAAATATAAATTATTTTATAGTATCATCATACCACGAAATGATGTGAGTATTATCAAATACATGGCATTGGGGTAGGACTAGTACATCGCAATAGCGCAAACAAATTATATTAGCATTCCGACTGCATTGGGTAAATAAAATTTATAAAAAGTGTACTATTCAATATAAATGAATATATAGATTCATAAATACAGTATATTCAAACAATAAACATAATACCATAACTATAATCTTCATACAAACATTTTTCATTATATAATATTTTTTGATTGATTGATTGAATTTATTCGATGCTCAACATGCATAAGCAAGATAAAAAATGGATTGAGATTAAGTAAAGTAAAAATTACCGTATAATCGCCCATTATAGACAGGATTCCAACCCATTTCTAATGAGGTCCAATTTAAATATACACTGTCTGTCTTGAGCTGAAATATAAACAATTTAATTCAACAACTGAATAATTATATTTAAGTAAGTTGCAAAATTACAATTAATATATGAATGACAAAATTGTTTTCCTGTCAATTAACAGTTAAATTATACCAGTGCTATATTCTTATTTATACATACTCTATAGACTGTCGATTTAAGGATTCTGTAGTAAAATGTTCGTAAAATCAGGAAAAATGTCGATGGGGGGGGGGGGCAAAATTCCGACCGGGGTCTAAAACAAGGGGATGCCTAGAGCCTTGTTTATGGTCCCGGAATAAAATCCCTGGGGTGAGGTTCATGGGGAGAAATCTTACGGTACAGGTTCGCCCATGTGATTTTTGATTGGATTTAATTAATGTCGTAGAGTCGGACGAGGGAGTTGATGTTAGTTTTATTTTACAGCAACATGTGCTACTGGGGTCCAGACTCGGGATTAATCAATGTCAGCTTAGAATGTCTCAAGTCAAAAAAGTTAACATGTCCCTAAAGCAAATACCTTACTGATTTATCAAACCATCTTAGCAAAATCTTAGCTTAAAAATTGTCTTAGATGGCGCATGCGTACAGTCGACTTTTTATTTTTAAGCATGAGCTAAGCAATGTTGAATTATTATTATTATTATTATTATTATTACAACATTCCTATATAACATGCTCAACTGCACTGTATATTCGAAAAAGGGAAGTGTGCAACTGGCCCTCACCTAAATTATCCAAAAATTTATTCGAAAATGGAGAAAAAAAAATCAAAATTGTATTCAAATTTAAGTAGTCTCCGGCCATCTAGTGCATGGACCATTGAGGTGACATAATCATAAATCCATATGTGAAGGTCTCCTGGATCCCCTCTATTTCGAATTTCTGGATCCATCACTAGGTAGCTTTATTTGATATCGACATCATGGAAGTACACATCCATGAAGATATTAATATCAATATTGATAAAGACGGTGTCATTTGGGCCTACAATGATCATTTTAGCTGTCCTTTAAAAACAATATAGAAAATATTTTTGTCGAGCTATAACAAATTTTGATTATTCAGGATTAAAAGTTGTGTACCAGATAATTATAGGCTATTGGTAAATTACAATTGTCGATAGATACGAATCTACATTGTAAACAAGGAACGGAAGTTAACAAGCCCCAAGCTGTAATTAATGTAAATAACGTTTTTCAGCCAGTTTCAAGTCCGGTGGTTTTAGCGAGTCACTTGGAATGTATGTTTTTAAATAGAATGCAGCACGTCAGTGAATGCTTTGGCTTTCCGAAAATTGTTAGTGCCTTTATTATAATCTGAGAAGTATGAGAAAAAGTATAATATTGGTTTTCGGCACAGAAGGTAGGTAAATTAAATGTTTATTTTCTATGGTACAATACATAATTAATTAGATCTCTATCATTTCCGAAAATTGCAGATAAAAGATCATATGGTAATGTGATGAATTTTACTATATAGAGTGTGATTCCGGCCATCTTGAAGTATTATTCATCAACCATAATGAGGCTGAGGTGGGTGTGGACTAACGGCTTTGAAGTAAGTAAAGTAAAGTAAATAGATAAAAGAGACAATGTTTTAAAGTTTTATTTTCTATGGTACATCACGCATATTAATTAGGTATCTATGGTTGCGGAAAATCGATGATAAAGGACCATGAGAAATTTGTTGGCGCTTCATTTTTACTATGGTGATGTGATGATGACGAAATTTAATATATAAAAGTGTAATTTCCGGCCATCTATAGGTACTATTTACAGTATTTTCCACAATGTTCGCACCTCAGCCTCAACCATGGTGGGGCTGAGATGGGTGTGGACTCACATTTTATCTTTGAAGTGATAAAGTAAAGTAAATACATCAAAGACGGTGTCTTTAAGTCTTATTTTCTATGGTCTCATCACACATACTAATGATCTCTATGGTTGCCGACAATCAATGATGAAAATACATGATTTGTTGGCGCTTCATTTTGACTATAATGGTGATGTGATGATGAACTTTACTATAGTGTCATTTTCTGCCATCTAGAGGTACTATTTCATAAAAATTTTTCACCTCAGCCCAACCATGTTAATTTCGATAGAATATCACAAAATATGCTACAATCTATGGGATCTCATTTATCTGTAGTCGGTCTACGTACTATCAATAACTCATGTTCTCTCATGGTCTAACGGTGTATTTGTCTCCAAGACCCAGGTAGGCCTAAACATCGTGTTATGCATTTTCTAACCATTCATCGACTTACTGGATAGATGTTCCAACTCTGCCGAATATTCAATCATCAATCGCAGGTCACTTTATCAATTTTCCTATTAGTTGCTATTTTCGGGTACACATCAATTTGTATTTCTGTATCAATTTTTCCTTTGTGCACCGACAATCAACGAGGTTGTCATACAAACTATTTCCGAGTGTTACGGACACCTCGAAAGATATATTTAAAATACTATCAATCGTAATGCATGCATGAAAGAATACAAAGATTTTGAGTACTTTTGGGGCAGGCAACCATCACCTACGCACCTTCTTTCTCCCAAATTTTGAGTTGGAATGTAGGCAAAAAATATCAAATATGGTAAGCTGCTCTGTGAAGTTTTATCGCTCACGAAAACTCACGATGAAATTGGTGTTTTATAAAACTCATATTATTAAGTTTAAGAATGTTTAGTTACCCTTCCACAAACACATGAATGACGAAAACTAAACAAAATACCAATTGCAAAAAAAAACTTTTATTATACCATTAACAAAGAATATGAACAGAATGTTGATGGAATGTGCTAACGAATTCTACTAACATACTAAATTAAACAGAGAGAAATCATATGCACAAATAACACAATGGATGTCTATTGCACAGAATTATTTGGTATTATCAATTTTTAAGCACAAGGGGGCAGGATATACCAAAGATGAAACTTGCCTTCTGAGTAGTACTGTAGCAATCCTTTCACAAAACAAACATAAATATACTTAACAAAAATTTAAATTTTTGAATACATTACATGTAATTTCATACGAGGCTTAAGCTACGTTCACATCAAGCCCGGATCTGGTCCAGAGCCCTACAAAAAATTGTGAATTGCTACGTTTTTTGAACGCTGCGTTCACATTGCGCACAGAATACGGGTGTTCAGGTTAAGTATGCATGCGTTCGATTGGTTCGAACCAACCAAGCTTGTTGCTGATTGGTCCAAGAAAAAAAAACGTACGATTTCAGGATAAAAATGGCTCTCCGATCCATCTGTCCGGATCCGCAGTCCGGGTTGGAATTCGTACAAATTTGATGTGAACGATCCATTTATTTATCAGTGAAATTATTTTTCACGATTTTTTCTCCGGACTCCGGGCTTGATGTGAACGTAGCTTTATACAGATAAGTTACATTAGTCATGAGAAAAAATATATTGACTGATCTATCAATCAATCCATTTATAAATTAACCAATCCATCAATAATTCAATCAATTTATCAATCAACAATTCAACTATTTAATCATTAAACCCCTCAATCAAGCATCAAATCCATCATTCACTTAACAAGTCAATCTATCGATGAACTTATAAACTATCAAACCGATATGCTGGATAAATAGTCCTTAAATCTGTCTGCATAACGACATACGCTAACAGCAGAGAATGAAGTAAATGGATGTATTATGCTTTTCACTGCATGTTCAAGTTTCTTTTTTGGTCCATAAGTTGTAAAAAAATCAATAATTCCTAGAAAATACCGATCTTCCACACCATCTAAAATGTGTAATGAGTTCTCAAGGTTTGGAAGTAAGCGTATATTAAGGTGTTCATTGTCGTTCAAACTATGATTAATCTGTGGCTCAAATTTGTTTTTTGTGGGAATGGCAGATTCTTCGGCAGCACCAGGTAATTGGAAATCCTGTGATAACTCTGTGTGTTCCATCGCACTTGATGTCATTCCAAAGTTAACAAGTCCATTGCCTGATGCTACTGAGATACCCTCGTCTTGATTCACTTTTTTACTTTTATAAACAGAATTACCGTTATTTTTTAAATTATTTTCTGGATCATGATTTAAATTGATACCATTACAATATTCCTTTGATGCTTGACTTGTGCTTTTATACTTCATGGATCTGAAAAGAGAAAAACTAAAATTAGTGAAAACCATTGAGAAAGATATATTTCATCTTTACTAATGCAATCTTCTCTACTTCGAATTCCGTGTCAAAAAGGAAGGTAAGTTATGAAGGTCTAAGTTTGTAAGTTAAGGTGAAGGAAGGGTGTGGCCTCCAAATCTACCACAGGTCATACATATCACCAGCATACTCTTACATCTAATGCTGATAACCTGCTAAATTACATTCTTTCAAAACAAACTATAAATTTATTTACCATGTCATTACATAGTGTATTTTTTTTAATAACTTTCACTTACTTCTTTAATCTACAGACTACATCTGCTAGTCTTTCATCCAGGACTCTATCAGATTCCAACAATGGCTGTTTTCCTACAAGTAAACTGTAGTCAATGACACCAACAGTCTGCATAAACTCTGTGTCAATTGATATCTGTCTGTCAAACCACTGCTTTTGAGGACCTAAAGAAACAATATAAAAAAAAATAAAATAAATATATAAATTAAATGAACAGAATGTTTATATGTGCACTCAAAATAGAGCATTCATGTACTTTAAGACAGGCACATATTTCTCAGACAATCAGTAGACAGTGTTGGGTCATTAAGTGCTCACAGTGAGTGTTGATGGATTTATCGGCCGGTGGTCGGTACGGCGCATGTGTGCCCAGCTTATTTCGCTTCTTCCCACCACATTAACCTCACTGCTTTTGTCCTCTATACTTTTCTACATACTGTTGTTTTTATGCATAGTTTATATGTAATATAAACCTGCTTGTTTGTTAAACCTGTGTTGTCCTGTTATTGAGTCATTTCAACAGAAATTCTGAAGAGGGCAGTAGGTTCTCTCATATAAAGTACAGTATATTCAATTACCTCAAAATTATAAGTCAAAATATAAAAGAACATGGTAAGATACATAACAGAAGCTCCAGTAGTGGCTTATATAAACCAATTGGATATACAACTAAATTATTGCTAATTAAATAATAATAATAATGTAAATGATAATAAAAAAAAATTATAGTAAGTACCTGATCGACATACCTATATTTATATTTTGCTTGTTGAAATTTTGATCTTTCAAAACCAAACCAACCTGGTTTAACTTCTGTGATGGTTTGACGTAACGGTTGGCCTGGCAACCTTTTAAATCGTATCTATAGTTTTGGAAAGTGAATATAATGGTTAGCCTGGCAACCTTTCAAATGAAAAATTAAGTGACATTTATACAATAATAAGAACATGCATTCTATTTTCACAAACCAGAGCCTTGCAGGCGCCAACGTTCCTATGCATGATACATGACTTAACCAACCATATTTTCTGATTAAGTCATCATAAATGACATAATCAGAAAATATGGTTGGGTCAAATTTGTGTGGTGGTTGAAAAATTCAGGGGGAGTCTTTATGGCCCAAAATAGTGATTTTAGACCACATTGGTAATGTAATTTGATAGGCAAATTACAGTAATATTTTAGCAAACTACTTAAAAAAAAATTTCGTAGGCCTAAGGCCTAGCTAGGTATACAGTATTTTCATTTTACAGTAAATAGTTTAGAACGATATCGGGAGTGGGGGAGCTGGCAGTGGCCTACTAGACTACAATTGATTTGAAAATAGCTTGGGCCCGATCGTCCACACCAGTTGGGCCCAATCGTCTGTCACCCGAAGTTTTCATCACGATGATCAAGAACGTACACGCACACACACTACACACAGGAAAAACAGCGAAGAGTGATTACAATAGTTCCTATTGCATTACATGCATAGGTACTAAAAATGCAACCTTTAAATTAAAAATACTGAGTAATAGGCATAGGTAATACAAGGACAATGAGAATATTGTATTACAGAGGAACAAATTAAGTTTATTTTATTGCATGTTACATCTCATATGCTGGAATACAGATTTTTAAATTGTAGATCTTATTAGGATTAGGTTTTTAAATGTTTGTTTATGTTACCATAGCTGCAGTGACTTGACTGGGGCTTGATTGCATAGTGTGTTATTATATGCCATTCAAATTATTGTAGTGTGTTTTATTCTTTGTTATTCTAAATAGTGTATTGCTATTCGATACACAGTATGACATTTAAGATCTACGCCTATTTCAAAATTATTTATACAGCACATACAGTATTACTGACTATTACAATCTATACAGTACATAATGTATATTTTTTTTTTCTGCAGAGCATTTTAGGAATAAATTTTAGGGAATATTATAATTTTGTTACAGTATCTTTTTTTGGAAGAGTCCTTTTGGGATAGGGATCTTTAGGAAAATGATCTTCTTGAAAGCGAGTTTTTAGGAAGTGGATATTTCTGGAAGATGACTGTATTGGGAACTTAGGAAGAGGATTTTTGGAAGGGGATCCTTTTAGGTCATGAAGTTTTGGAAATGGGATCTTTTGGGAAGGGGATAGTTTCGAGAACTTTTGAAGAGATGATCTTTTAAAGATACTTTGTTAAAGGAATTATCTTTGGGAAGAGCATACTCAGTTTGGAAGATATATTTATTGATAAGTTAGAGGGTAATCTGGGTTGTATTTTAATGACTAAACTGTTATTACAATGTCAAATGGATTTACTTTTGAGCATGCAAATACCTTTCAATAATTCTATCATCAGGATAAAATACATTCTTCATCACCGAGAAATAAATCTGTTAAAAGAAAAAATATAATGTTTATAACAGTTTTTTCATAGATTTTGTATGTATAAACTTTAGCAATCGCTCATTAAATTCTGAAAACTCATTAATATCATACCACCTTATCTTCATTAGAAATGTTTAATTTTCTTATTTTGTTAACTCATGTCTTGGTTGCTTTATTGTTTTTGTAAAAATATTTTGTAAGTGTAAAATGTTGGATTAATGATCTAAATATATAACCATTTTTTAATGCATAACCTACTACTTAATCTATATTTGAGCGGTAATTTAGTTTAGGCAATAAATGCTGGTGGTTGATTTTCATCATTTTTTAATCATAGAAAATGAACTCAATTCAATGTTTTACCATTGTACAATATAGGTCTGCATCATCAAAATAAATAATTTTCAATAACTATGTGGTCAAAACTCTTGAGGATTCACCCCAAACTTTCCCCTACAAATTACTGTATCAACCCTGATGCCACCACTGAGAAATGTTTTTAGTCGTAATTTAGCTGCAAACTTAGAGTGATGATTTTTACAATACAATTGAGCTGGCATAAGTCAAATCTAAATTGGCATTGTAAAATTGTTTGATTTGGATAACGTTTTACTTACAGATCATTAATTAATGGAAAATACAACAATTTGGTATGTAAAATAAGATCGACTTAGAAATTATTTGAGTTAGCAAAGTTGACTTAGGCAAGTTTAACTGTACACTTGAATGTTCACAATCTTGGCAAGGACCTTGGGGTTGCAAGTAGAGCACTATACCACAGGTCCATATCCTACCTGCCCCTCCTCCCCTCTGTTTCTTATCCATTTAACATCAGTTATTATTAATAAATGAGTACCTACTGGTTTGTCCCCTTTCTGTTTGATGAGGTATAATCCCATGTAGCGTACTATTAAGCTATGTGGATGCTGCTTCAGATGACAAAGATAATTGGGCAGAATCTTCATGAACAACCTGGCATCGTTCTTCTTCTCTGTCTTGATGATATATCGTTTGTCATTGCTATCAAAGATCACACATTTGTTACTGGTGTCAACAACATTACATACTATTTGGAACTAGTAAACTAATAAAAACAAGAATTCTCTTC